CGAACACATATGAAGATAATAAGGCCGAGCCGAACACATATGAAGATAATAAGGCCCAGCCGAACACATATGGAGATAATAAGGGCCAAGCTGAACACATATGGAGATAATAAAGCTAAGTCGAACACATATGGAGATAATAAGGGCCGAGTCGAACACATATGGAGATAATAAGGCCGAGCCGAGCACATATCACATGATTTTGTGATGATGGTGTTGTAAGATGATGTATGCCATGTCATAATGGCGATGTATGTTGTGTCATGGTTGCCATGTATGCCATGAAATGACGGCGATGTATGTCATGTTATAATGGCGATGTATGTCGTGTCATGGTTGCCATGTTAGCCATGAAACGACGGCGATGTAATGGATTTGTATGTCATGTCTTAGTGGTGATGTAATGTAGATGAATATATGTTATGACATGATGGTACGAAGATAATGCACACTAGTTGGTAATTTAGATAAAAATATGTATGTGTAATCCCTTACTTGTGTTGAGATAGTCATTACCCGAGCCGAGCCTAGCCGAGCACATATATGAGGAATTTTCCTTCTTTTTAAGCATGACAAGACATATTGGAGATAGTGTGGCCGAGCCAAGCTCATATTTGTCAAGGTGATGAGGCCGAGCCGATCATATATCTGTAGATAATAAGGCCGAGCCGAGCACATATATTGGAGATAATTTTTCTCCTCCTTTAAGCATGGCTAGACATATTGGAGATGCTGTGGCCAATATACATAGCGTCTCCTGAGCCCCCAAGTTCTTTAGTTAAGAACTTGCTATTGATTGGGAACCTTAAAGTAAAACCATTGTTGGTCGAGTTGATCAACTTGTGCTTTGGTGGGGAGAGCTTTTGTTTGAGTAATATGACATGGAGATTGAGCATGCGAGATGGTTGGGTCGGTCATGCGACCTGGTGGATGACCATGCAAGGTGGTCGGGTTGGTAGTTCGACGTGGTAGATGACCATGCAAGGTGGTCGGGTCAGTCATTCGACGTTGTAGATGACCATGCAAAGTGGTCGGGTCATAACATGGTTCATGTACCAACGCAGAATAATAATATAATATCACAAGATATTATGACATCCCATCACAGATATTTGAGATATCATACCTAGATATTTATGTTTAGATATTTATATCTAGATATTTATGTTTAGATATTATTTTATGGTAAAATCACTAAATGAGAGAAGAGATTTCTCATCTTCATGGTCTCAGACCCAGCACAAAGGAGCATGGAATTGAGGAGGTGGAGGCACATGGTACTGATCATGCCTAGAGAAATGGATGAGGTTGCCGATTGGGTGTTTGTATTTGGAGAGAAGCCCCCAAGTCCAGTAATGGTAGGACATATCTTGAAAAGTTTTGGCAAAGGAGACACATGGATGTCTTCATAGTTGCTTGGCTGGAGCAACAGGTTGGGGGTGTCGTGACAGAGGAGGGCATTCTTCATGTGTCACAGGCCTTGTTCAGACCAAGAGATGAGGGGCTGCCTCCAATCAGAACAAATTTTCTGGTGAACCTCCTGCCTGCTCAAGGTGCATCTCGACCAGTAACAAAAATGGTGAGAACAACATGGATCTTTGCTGCGCTTCCCACAGACGGCGCCAAATGTTAACGGGTGAATTTGTACATAACGGATTAAGACATAATCACACACATAACATAAGTGTTTGAGTGGTTCATCCATAATGGGGCTACATCCACTATAGTTTATAGCTTTGTATTTGTATTTGAATATGGAGATTACATTGTACATGAGAGAGATATGGGGAGAGAGGCTTGAGAGCTCTAGTAGAAGATAAATAGAGAGCTTTGGGAGATCTTTGGGCAGCTCTTGGAGAAGTGGTAGCTGCTCCATTTTGCTTGGAGGTAGTAAACTCCCTTTTGTAGTCCAAGTAGTGGTAGAGAATGCATGGCTCTCCTTGATTTGGGGATTCTACATGGTCTATCCTTGATTTGGGGGCCTTGGGCATTGAGAAGGCATGAGAGGGGGCATGGCTAGCTACTCCTTGTTTGGTGGGATGTGAGGTATAACAAGCAATCCCTTAGTTGCTGGGGACCTTCGAGTAAGACCAGTGTCTGACTGAGCCGAGCACATATCTGTAGGTGATGAGGCCGAGCCGAGCATATATTTGTTGTGGTGGTGAGGCCGAGCTGAGCACATATCTGTTAGAGGTGATGAGGTGGTTGTGAGGCCGAGCTGAGCACATATCTGCTGGAGGTGGTGAGGCCGAGCCGATCACATGTGTGGAGATAATAAGGTCGAGCCGAGCCGAGCCTTAATTGGTGGGATTTGCTTAAGGGGGAAGGTGAGGTCAACAAGGTGCCAACACCAAGAAAAATCAACAAACAAAAGTTTTTACCATTTTTACGCAAGGATCAAGGCACTGGTACCACCTATATTTGCACTCCCTTGCAGATCGAGTCCCAACGCTCTTAGATATAGACTTCCAACTAAAAATTCCATATTTCTTCACGGCTCTCATCAAGAGGGCCTCTTCCGATAACCTCCAATGCAAAGCCATAGCAGAATTCAGAGAAAAAGAGTAAATTGGGAATAGGAGAGCCATGCTTTTCTTTGTTTTTTGAAGGAATGGATCAACGGCTAAATTTTGTTTTTGAAGGAAGGATTTAGGGTTTAGGAGCAGCGGTTTTTTTTTGTTTTTTTTGAAGGAATTGGGAATGCTAGGGATTATATAGGAGAGAAATGCTTTATTTTTCGTAAGGAAGGGAGCAATGGCACGACTAAAAAAAATTTAAAATCTTGAAGCTAACGGCAAAAAAAAAATTTGAATTTTAAAGCAACAGTCTGGAGATCTTTTATTTTTTTATCTTTTCATTAGGGATCTTACGCACCCTGCCAAATCTGGGCAGCAAAAGTCATAGCCATCCATTTGGAGAAAGAAGAAAAAAGAAAATATTAGCAAAAAATGAAACCAAAAACTATTATTGACAATGAATTTGTGGTTTTAGGATCTACCAAGTTCGTAAAATGCTGCTGGTGCTGGCAGCTGGTAGCTGGCTCAACTAAGCAAAAAGTTGATGGGGCTTGAACAAGAGTTTTGGCTGGTAGCTGGCTGAAGACCTGAGTTCGAGTTTTGGTTGTGATTTGGAGCTAGTTTTGGCCTCAAGAGAATAAAAGAGAAGAGATGAGCTTTGGTTTTGGCCAAATCAGGAGAAGGAGATGATGAGATTTGAGTCAGCCATGACAATTGAGTTCGAGTATTGGTTGTGATTTGGTGCTGGTTCATGGCTGAGTTCGAGTTTTGGTTGTGATTTCGTGCTGGTTTTGGTTTTGGCCAAATTAAGAGAAGGAGATGGTGAGATTTGTCGAAGGCAGTGGCGGGTGGTATAGCCTCATTTCAGCAATTAAATAATTAATTACAGCGTATGTAGAGATACACACAGCCCTTGTTTGAAAACTAACTAGGTTACAACTTGGGCCTTTGATTGATCTCATCGGCCTTTCTTACCATTTGGGCCTTTTAACTTCTTCTTTTTTTGTCTGATATTTTGGCCTTTTATTAAATTATTTATCTAATCTTTTGTCTTCATTTTTTTCTTTGGGCCCCTTTTCCACATTAAATCAAATTCACCTAGTTATGAGTTATCTGTTTAGGCTTAATTACACCAATGTGGTCTGAATGGAAGAATGAGTGAATGTTGTATGAAATAGTAGCTAGGTTTAGGTTATAAGTAGTTAGAGGGATTGGCATGGTCTTATATAAATAAGGTAGGGTTTAGGGGAGTGGAAAAATTATTTACCTATAAATAAGGTAGGGTTTAGGGGAGTGGGAAAATCATTTACCTATAAATAAGGTAGACTTGGAATATTAGGAGTTTGTGTCAGTTTGTACGTGGCTTGTACGGGTGTTTACAAAAAGGAGTGCTAAAATAAAATCTCTCTCTCTGTCTGGTACAGTGTTTAAATATTCAAAGAGTATAGCCGCGTGGCTATACTATTTAGTTTTTTTTTTTTTTGGGTTTAAATGAAAAAAGGACCCCAGTATAACCGCCTTGCTATACTTTTTAAATATTTTAAAGAGTAGAGCTGCGCAATTATGCTTAAAATTAAAAAAAAAATTTAAAAAAAAAGACCTACCTAGCGCCTAGGTGGCCACCTAACGTTTAGGCGACTGATTTTTTATTTTTTATTTAAAGTATAGTCGCGCGGCTATGCTATTAATTAAAAAAACGCCACTGTATAGTCGCGCGGCTACACTCTTTGAATATATTATATTTAAAAAGTATAGTCGTAACTATACTATTTATGAAAAAAATTAAATAAAAAATAAGGACAAGCCTAAATAGTATAGTTACGACTATACTTTAAACTTTAAATTTTTTAAAGAGTATAGCAGCATGGAATATAGTCGTGCGGCTATACTATTTATTATTTATATATAAAAAACCCAGTAAGTACTAATAGTAGGAAAAGCACCATTGCACAACATGATCAGTCCTTGACAATTCCTTTTGTAATAATGCTGGCAGTTGGAGTTTTAGGACTCATTGTATACAAGGGTATCTTTTCTCGAAATTGATGTGATATCGAAAATCATTAGACTGATAAACCTTTACTTTGCCCCTCTTAGGTCCAACTATAAGTGTATTGCAAGTACCCTTCTGCTTCGGAAAGATAGTTAACAGAGATGTTACGTTGGAAGCAAAACATATACTTATTTAATTTAATTTAATTTTTAAATTTTCGTTTACATTTTTTAATTTTATTATTTAAATATGTAAACTGATTATTAATTTACCCCTTAAAATTGACAAGAGGTAAACAACATAACCAAAAAAATTAACTCTGATGATCTTGATAGCAATTAAATAATTAATTACAGGGGTTTGTCGGCAAAGGAGCTCGAAGAATTGTAGTTAAGGATAGTGAAAGGCAATTTGCTTTCATTATAGTTTGACACAATAGAGCGGATGTATGAAATAATCATAGGCACAAAATTAGTCGAAACTCTTCAATCGGTATTTAAAAATCTGAAAATTCGATTTCGCTGAAAGTAATTCAAGAGTAAGTGATTTTGTTACATATCTTACTTAGCACCCCCAAACAAAATCCTTTTTTCTCAGACAAGGAGCTTTTGAGCAAGAGCTTTGATAGCCTCCTCAGCAAGGATTTTATACATTTTTTCTGTTGGATGAACAGCATCCCAGAATACGTATTTTTCTGGATCAGTGCATGTCTCTAAGCCCCTGCATGAATCTCCAAACTCTATGGTTCCAGTCCCGCAACACCCTTTTGAAGTCTCAGACAAACCTGCCAGTTTTCACAAAACGTAAATTTATCAGTCTTTCTTCTGATATTAATGTATAGAAAGAAAGCAGAGAAATTAAACTTACCGTACAGTGCTGGGTTGTTTATGGCATTTTGGATAATACCATAGGCATCAACAAAGGCGATTTTCATTCTAGATGTTGTGCTTATGGCCTCCAATTTCTCTTGTATCTTGGAATTCAATGAGGATGCCAGTTTGTTGTAATTTTCGGCACATGTCGTCGTGTCCATTATCGTTTTGACAAGTGGCATGCATCCCAAAGGAGGGACCCCAACAACAGCCAATCTTGTGCCTCCTAGCCTATGCATTTTCTGCAAGAAAACACAGAAAAAAAGTTTCAACCAGAGAAGGGTGTTGGATAGGGCACGAAGGGCGGTATGGCCAAAGACTATGAGATTAATTTAGAGATGAACACCTGAATGGCATTAGCCATGCAAGAGACCAAGTAATTTTGATACTCTTCCACAGTGAATTGCTTGGGGCGAGTTGGGTCCAAGTAGTAGTCCTGGAGAAAGTCATTTGTGCCCATACTTATGACGAAGACGGCAGTTCTAATGATATCCTCAGCTCTCTTATGACCAACCAGTTTTCTTAGTTTGACCTTATAATGCATCAAATACTTCAGCTGGCGGGGAAGAGACAGAACACTCTGTTGAACCATAACAAGAAAAGTTTAAAATCAAAATGTGACGTGTATTAGTTGACGTACATGTTGCATTTACTCAAGTAACATCTAATTAAGTACTTAATCCCAAGAATTTACCGAAATATTAGCGGTGAAATCATCGTAACCCGAAGCAGCTGATGCAAAACTAGCACCATGAGGCAGATCTTCCAGCTTCAGATTGGGGTCAAGAAATGCTGGGATTGTTTTTGTGTAGCCAATAGCATCCGCTGGTAATTCATAAAGGGGACATTTTCAAGTTAATTAAACTGCATACAAGATAATATTTATAAATCCTGGTGACTAATTAATCATGCTTACCAATGAAATCTGTGGCAAGCCTTCCATTGCTGAACCTTCCAGTTGGGCGGCCATTGAAGAAGTCTTTGCCATAAGGAAGGAAATTGCTCTTTATGGTGGTCACTATAAAATTGTTGTTGCCAGAATCAACACTTGAATCTCCAAAGACCAAGATACATGTCACATTGTTGCGAGCAGCAATTTCCCTCACTTTAACAATGTCTAGAGCTCCTGAGAGCAAAGGCAGCAGCAGCAGCAGCAGCAGCAAAGCCAATTCCGCGATCACAAGTGTCCCCTTCTTCTCCACCATTATTGGCCAAGTTTGATGCATGACAGTGGAAAAACTTGTGGATATTGTTTTGTGTTGAGCTTGGCCTCCCTCACCTAATATGCTGATGTACTTGTAAATAGCTTGGATTGTAATCTTGGGACAGTGAATTTAATGCTAGCTACTCAAGCAGATATGTCACATAAATGTAGTAGACTCTAGAGCCCGTCAGACGCACGTTAAAGTCGTTGCGGAATGATAATGCTAAACCTTGGTTAAAGATAGCGATCAAAAATGTTCTCTTAACTTCACGAACTTAAATGATCCCAAATCATATAGTTCTAAATGAGATATCAATAAGAAGGTATGTGATTATTAAGCAATAAATTCATGTCTCTGGTTTGAACTGGACCAGCTGTTGGCCAGCTAACGAGTTGTATATTTTTTAAGTTTTTCTTCCCCTGATTTTTCTTCATATAAAGTTGCAATATATTATATATATGCGCATAGCTGCATAAAGCAAACTGGAGATTTTTGTGTGGTTGGTCGCTGAACAGAATTGAATGCTCCAACAAATTGCTGCTTATCTTTTATGGCAAGTCTGTCCAATTATTTGAAACCAAATTTGAGTCGACGTTTACATTTTGAGATAGTGATGATGTGGCTGGCTTTTTTCTTTTGTTGATTTATGATATTGGATTGGGGAATCCCACATTTACTGGTTGGAGAGCAAGTAGGTCAGAATCAGAAATTTTTTTTCTAAAAAAGCACATGCATTCATTGATCGATTTGACCCACACAATTTACTGATTTGTCTGATACATGCTGAATGTAGTAATGTCATTTTGTGTCAAAAAAATTGCATCCTACTATTATTAAGGTACACTTGAATGTTAGTTGATCATAAAGATTTTTTTTTTTGTCTGAACCACGAGGTAGTCTTGGATGGGCCCCAATTATGGGTGGCACCTTTAAGCCTTAACCACAACCCAGACTAATCCCTGCTCACACCAGGTCGGCCCATAAGGGATAAAGTGTTGGTCAAAGTGGTGACTCCATACGAGAGCGGGCATCGGCCCCAATTATGGGTGGCACCTTTAAGCCTTAACCACAACCCAGACTAATCCCTGCTCACACCAGGTCGGCCCATAAGGGATAAAGTGTTGGTCAAAGTGGTGACTCCATACGAGAGCGGGGATCGAACCACTGACCTCTCTTAAGGAATGAGAGTGCCGAACCACTCACACCAACCACCTTGGTTGATCATAAAGATTTGGGTTCTACTACTTCTATTCATAATCAAATAAATCTTGTATTATTTGAACATAAATGAGGAGTGTTTCAATACATAACTATTATTCGCTCATATGATGCAGGTTTTTATCATTTTAATTAGTTTTCATGAAGCAAAAGGGGTCTACCCTAGTGAAAAAATGAATTTGTTAGCTGTAATTAGTAAGTTAGCAAGTTAGTTAAGAGATTAGTTACAAGTCAGGTGCTTAGCACGCGTATTAGTTAGATAGCTAATTTGTGTTGTTATTCTATTAAGATGCTATGTACTCCAATTATATAAGAGTGTGCTATGCTTTGTACATTGAATTGGATTGATTTGGATGATCGGTTTGCACGAAAATGTGATAATCGCAAAAATAATCATATAAAATTCAATCCAATAGAAAATACCATTAAGTATGTACTAAATAGATATAAATAAATTTTAGAAAACAACACTACAACACCAAGTTCGACATTTAGAGTTCAAGTTACATCAATTCCTTTAAAAATAAAAAAAAAGCTTAAGTCAACAAAAAAAAGTTTTATGCTATATTAATATAATTTTTCTATAGAATATCAATAAAGTTGTGTTGGTGCGTTGGTGTAAGTGGAATGTAAAAGATGGTTTAGGTTTGAACACATGAAAATGCAAATATTTGCATATATTTTTAAAAAATTGGATATTTTCAGTTTGAATTGGATTTCAAACTTTGAATCCGCTAATCAAACCGATCCAATCGAAATCAATAAAATTGAATTGGATTGGTCGATTTTGGCAAATTAGTTTGGATCCTGTACATCCCAAAAATTTACCAAGATTTAGTCTAGTCGGCTCTCACTCGAAAGACCCGGGTTCAATTCCGGCAACGGAACTTTTTAATTTTTAAGTTTGAACTTTAAACATTCAAAACCATTTCCCAAGCACAAACGGCGTCAGTCCCGTGTTCGTTTTTGGCGGGAACAGAAATACATTTTTATTTTAATTATTTTTACGTCTTCTATTGTCTCTCCTCAGTCCTAAAGACGGATTAGGGTTTCGAAATTTTGGCAGTAGGGAGAGATGGAGAAGCCTGGCAGTATGAGAACCGTGGGTGGAGGGATCGAAGAGAACATATTGGCAATCCTCGACTCTTCTGAAGCTAAAGACACTCTGGACGCCTTCGAGGATAGTAAGTCTAGCTCTGTTATTGGCTTTTGTTGCTAATTTTCTGTTTGTCTGCCAAGAAAATTTTCTAGAAAAGGAAGTGAGCGAGCTAAAATTAGTTCACTTCTTAGTTGTTTTGGTGCTCGGAAAACGAAAATTTCAACTCAGTTATGTCTCACAGTAGAATTGCACCGTTTCATCTGTATCTTTTCTTCCAACATTTTTATAATTTATTTGGTAATTGATGAACAGGAATCGCTTTTATCGAAGCTGTTCGTGCTGCTTCCATTGTAGCAAAAAATGGAACTCCACCTACCTAGTATCTCTCTCTCTCTCTCTCTCTCTCTGTTATAGGCATACGGTAAATTGATATTTACAATGTATGTCTGCCCTAATACCCATCTGTTTATATCAATGTTGTTGCACAGTAAAATGTATGAGGCAATCTTCTCCATCTTGAGGATTGGAAAGTCTCTAGAATTGACTATGGCAAGTTTTCAGCTTTTGAATGAGTTAGATAAGGTACCCAATCGCTCCTTTAAAACTTCAATTTATATTCAGATGGTGCAAAGTTTTCTCACTAATTCTGTTTGCCTTATTTTGTAGCGTTTCCCTCGGGTAAATTCTTCTGATGTGGATATATCAAATTCATCAAGCAGTGTGCCCGAACTAATCATGGTTCAAGAGGTACTAAGGTTTTTTTTTTCCTCTGTCTATTTGATATAAATTTCTGTTGTAACTGGCCCATATTGTATCATAACTGATATCATTTCTCTGTGCTTGTTAGGTTTGGTTTCCATTCGTTTTCAGCTCCGAAAATGCTAGCAGTGAGAGGGGAGCTGCAAATAACTCAGAGGGACCAGTTGACTCATCAGTGAGTTGGATTTGATGTGGACTTGCAGTTTGCATTATTTTGGAGTTCTTAACCATTAGTATAACAGTAATTAGTTTGTTTAATTTGCCTTTTCTATTTCTATTTGGAAAGAGTCATGGTGCATAGACAAAGGGTAGTAGATCACCGCTTGAGACGTTGTTGTAGTGTGACGAGCTACTTAGGTTCATTATGATGAAATTTCCAGCTCATTTTATATTTTGTTTGGAACTCTAATTGGAACTTGATTTTCAGTAGCTTATCTGTTGCAATTTCACCTTGCTTAAGTGTTCTCTTGCCAACTGCAGGGTTTCCAACTTTTGATACAAGACCTTGCTGACGCAACCGATGAAGGAAACTTACGAGCATCAGAAACAAAGGTTAGCTCACTCGCAGTAAGAGAATAGAAAAGGTTCCATTCAATTCGTGCTAGCTAATCTCATTGTTGTATTGTAAAAAAGCTTTCTTTCAATTTGTGGTTATGAGTGTTGACTGAGTGTTTTGTTCTGGTAGTTTTATGCCATAGAATTACTTAACTTGTCCTGCTTCATTGGATAAGCAGAATTTCCCCATCTTTTTTGGTCTTACTTGATCTTCTTTTGTTGCAGTCCTTAGCAAACATGCTATTGTTTCAATACCTAGTTAACGTTTTTGAAGGAGATTTTCGACCACGTAACAGTGTCTATGAAGGTAAATTGATATGTAATTATCGGTTATTTTATGCCTCTAACTTTCTGGAAGTTTCAATTTGCTCGTTATTGTTTGCAGATACCATGAACTGGGTAGTTCTGAGAGAGTCTTTATTGAACATGCTTCTGGTATCCCTTTCTCTTTCAAGCCATGAATACTGAAGAGCCTGTTTTCCATTGTTGATTATCTGGTTATTAAGTGATTTTTATACCACGAATATTGCCCTCAAAATTAAGTTATCTTTTGAAGGTGTCAAGAAAAGTAAACTACAAAAGCTTGATGAAGGATTGCTTGACCATTATGTGTAAACTCTATCAAAACTGTACTGGATTCACCGACGATCTGATATGTTCAGAGAATTCTGCGGCACAACCAGCTGAAAATTTTGATACTGCTGCTGCAATTTCTTTACTTGAGGTAGGAAAGCATACCTGCATAGCCATGCAGAAGTTTCTAATAATGGTAAGCCCCTTATCAATGTTTTAATATTTGTAGAATCAGTTTCTGCATTGGCACTGATTTTGGTCCTGTTCAGATAATGGAGCTTGATGTGTCCAAGAAGAGTGCAGAGATGCAAGGTTCTACTACCCGAGCTGATGGCGTCAGGTATATGTTTCTCGTTCTTGGTAGAGTTAAAGTTGTTATCTCTCTCTCTCTCTCTCTCTCTCTCTCATGTACCATCTTCAATTTGTTGAGGTAGATGCACTTTTTTGGTTGGTGCAGAACTCCTCTGGTGGAGATAATTCTGGACGAGCTAACATACAATAGAGATATTCTTTCCCCATTTCTTCAGGTTCATATTTCTTTTAATCGCTATCCCTTTTTCGCTTGTGGTTTGGCAGGTTTCTGTATCCATATATAATCTGTGTGCCAGCCACCTCACACGGATCAAGTTTCATATCTCTCTTAAAGTTTGACGATGTAACTGGGTTCATATGCACTAGGAGTATGATTAGCAATTTTTTTGAGTTTTTGGAATTTCTTATGCTTCATTCCTAATGTGTAAGAATGAGAAATTTGACTATTTATGATAAGTTGGCCACTATGTCTTCCGCCAGTTCTTTATGAGGATGCATTGCAGGTTTTCAATGAACCTAAATGGAAGCTTGAGGTAGTTGTGCAGTACTTGTGGAAATACATTGGTAAGGTAAGCTTTCATAGTGCGGTAAGAAAACTATTATGTTTTAAAGTCAGCCAACCAAGGTACTTCTGTTGGTATTTCCCCTTTTTTTTTTCTTCTTTTATCTGTTGGTGTTATCCGTTGTCTGCTTACTTTTTCCTGAGTGCGTTTGATCTGGTTATGAAGGTAGTTGAAGCACAATTTTGCGTTATTGATAATATCCTCATTTAATTTATTATATTATACTTTGTTGTAGCCTTCTGTTCGCACTCGTAGGTCAAATAGTCCGACGGACGATGCATCATTCAGTGGAGCATTGAAGTGCTTTTCAAATATCACCAGCACAAGAAGTACCTTAAAAAAGATTAGGACAGAAGTAGTTCAGTTGTTGTTAGCACATGGCTTTCAGGTGATTATTCTTGCTAGTCATACATACTAGTAGTATTCTTCTAATAAAATTTGTTTTATGGGGTGATGTGTTGGTTGATTCTTCAAAGGATGTAAAGTCAAATTTCCGTTACATTCTTGATTGTTGTGGTTGTGTGTTGATTTTTCAGGCTCATTTGTCGCTACCAAGTGAGCAGCATCCTGTTGAAGACACCTC